TCTGGAAAAAGCCTTTTCCTCTTTTGATGCCTGAACCTGTGGAGCTTCAGGCTTTCTTCTTGAGCCATATCCTCCTTGGCACTTGCAGCCCATAACAAGCTATTCTTATTAACATTTTTTCTGGGCTGGGATTAAGTTGGAAAAGAGACAGGAATGACATTTTGCTTAAACCACTTTAAAAAGTAAGCATCAGCTCTACCATCTAAAGTTTATATTGAATCAGCTCCTAGATGTATAGAAATAAAAAGGGATATTTAGGACAAACACACACATGTATTGCTATACAAAAGTTCCAACTTTGATGATTTGCAGTGGGTGGGGTTTTTGATAATGCCTCTGCTCAAGCCACACACACACACACTCACAATTGCTGCCTCTGCACTGACACATCAGGAGAACATTTTGTTTTCCTCACAATTACATAGATTCGCTAATTGCATCAATGTGACAAGGAGGAGGCAGCAAAAGCTGAAAAGGTGTTCTCTTCACCAGTATGTGCCAAAGATCACGGTAACAATGAACTATATACCTAAGATTCTGCCTGGAGCTCTGATCAGCAGCATCCAGATCAAACTTCAGACTAGGACAACCTAGAGCCAGTGTGGTAACTTCTTCTGCCCCTTTTCCAAATGGAGGATCCATCTTATTACGTGGAAGAAAGAAAACGCCACCAAAACTCATCCCATGACCATTCACGGCTTGGGTTTATGTTTCACAGTGGCCTGACTCTGACTAACTTAGACTGACCAGCCATGAATGCTTGAGTGAGAGCAGCTGAGAGACACTTTGCAGCAATGAGGTGCCACTAGTAGGGCTGAGTAGACTCCTGTTCTTTCCCGGCGCTGCCATTTGGCAAGACTCAGTGAGCTCCTCAGAAAACAGTGCTAAAATTCCTCCCTGGGCAAATGCTAAAACACTCCATCAAGTTCTGCTTCCATACAGCCAGGAAGCTTTTGTGCTCCTGTGTGCTTGATTTCAAAGTTATTTAAGGAGTTAATCGGCATCATTGAGCTGCACTGCAAAGCCATGCGCCACGCAGGGTGAAGCTGTAGAGCCTCGGTGTTGGATAAGCAGCTCTGGCTTGTGGAGCCCCTCAGCTGCCCACTTCCTCAGGCATGGACCTGGGGTTGTAGAGGGAAAAGAGACATCTGTGACAGGACCACAGCTGCCTAAAGCCCCAGAGCATCCTGCTCCAATGTCAACTTGGGAATCAGAGCAAAGGTTTCTGGTGGGTGATATGGGAGCAGGAGTCGAGCCACAAGTTCTGCACTGTGCAAGCTTATTTCATGTTGGGCCAGGGAGGTTTCAGCTGGCCACAGCTTCCAGCAATGTCTTACAACTCCATAGTGAGAGGAAGCAAATTCTCAGGAAAAGACAATACAATGAAAATCAGGTTTGTGTCCTTCTGCAGCTTCCATCTATTCCCCTTGAGGCTCCAAAATTTCCCCACAAGCAAGTGAATCAGTCCCGCTTTCAGAGGAACAGAAGATGTAGCGAGGGAAACAAAACCCTCTCACTGAGGCTCCACAGCCACTCATTTTTGCTATTTCTACCCTCATCCTTCCTTCTGCCCACATTATCCTCTGAATCTCCTGGGACATCAGCTCTTCAAGATGGGAACTAACTCCGTACCACCTGCCGTACAGAAACATACAAGGAATATCCAAAATTTGGGATAGTCCTGCCTTGTTCCTAGCAATCCAAGGCTCTTGGAGGAATTCCTGGTCACTTTCAGATACGCTGCATTGTGCAAGTTGCCATAAAATGTTTATACATTGTATCCTCCAACCTATTTAACACATCCAGCTGCTACAGAGCGGCAGTTGAGCCAGGAAGAAAGAAACCCAGACCCCAAGAACACATAACAACAGACAAAAGGCGGGTTGCAGAAATCCCCTATCTTTCCATAGGAAGTTTAACTCATGGGGAATGAGAAATAAAACCAAAATTATCGTCTGGATGAATTTAAAGCGTGGAGAAATGATCTTTCTTCAGTCACCTCCTCTGTTCCCGCGTTCCCATCAAAGAGTCAAGAAAGCTTTGCCACCCCAAAACTAGTCTTGTTAACCAAAGGAAAAAAACCCCACAGGTTAGAAAACAAACATCTGTCTCCATCTCCCATCTTCAGCACCCCTGCGACGCTCAGAAACCACCACGAGCTATCTCGAGCACACAGGATGCACATTCACCAGGTGTTACTGCGGTTTGGCACCATCACCTGCCACTTCTCCTGCAGCCACCGAACCACGCTGAGCTTCTCCACTCACCACCTATCTGATAACAACACAAACTGCGGCACCAGGCTCTACCTGAACTTGCAATTAACACTCTCCTGCTCCTACTAACACAACTTGGAAACAGCAAATCAGTTGCCAGTAAAATAAGAAAATTAAAGAAAAAAAAATGGAGGAGGAGAATGGGGAAGACAAGACCTCTCTAACAACAGCAGATTTTGAATCCTTCTCAAACACCCTCTCCCTTCCAAAAGCTACACTGAAATTAGATTTCCTTTTTTTTTATTATTATGGTTTATTAGGCAAGCTGTGTCTGACTACACATTTGCACTTTTAATTTTACAAAGCAAGCTGTTAAAGCATTCGCCTTTTTTAAAAAAAGGAAAGGCTTTTTTTCCCCTCCTCTAGATATGGTGATGAAAGTAACTTTTTTCCCTTTCCAGGAAAGCTTTGCTCTCCCTTCTCATAGATGGTCCTTGCCCTGTGTCTGGACGCCGTCCCCCAGGGGCGCATCCCCGGGGCAGTTTGCAGTCAGCAGGTCCTTCCAAGGTGGAAAAAAAGATTCAGCGCCCCAGGGCGCCTTTTTAATCCTGGCTAACACCTCCAGGCAACAGATGCATCAACAAGAAGCGTCTTTGTCATGCAAATAGCAGGGCGCAGGTACACACCAGGCACAAATGGCTGGGGACTACTGACACCCCAGGGGAGACCTCTGCCTCCAGTGCTTGCCGATCTCAGCTGCTGCTTGCCCTGGGAAGGGGAGGCAGAGCAAACCTGGAGGGCAGCGGCTGGTGTCCCTCGGAGGCGAGCGCGGCGCGGAAAGCCGCGGGGAGAGCGAGCGTGGCACCTCCTGGATGCCGCGTTTTGATCTTGCGCGCATTAAACCCCAACTGTCAGCAACGAGCCTAGCAAAGATTACCGTTCAATTAAACAAAAAAATTATTTAATAACTCAAGCGTGTAGCCTTGTGGTTAAACTGAAAGAACTCCGGGCTTATGTCAACATTGCAGCCCTGCAACAGCACTGTTTTATTGAAACAGTGGTGCTGCTGCAACATGCAAGAGCAGCACTGAACTAAATTAGCCCCTCAGATGTTCAGCAGGCAGCTTTACAATTAAAAACAAGACGCGTTTTCCCCCCTTCCTCTCCACCACCACACCCACAAAGGGCAGTTCCTCAAGAGCCTCTGCAAGATGATATTCTGAGGGCATTGATGCCAGATCTATAAACAGTGGCAGCCCCATGGCACGCATATATGGGGAAAATCCTCAGTGAATAATTTAATTGGATTTTCTTGTTCCAAACCACGCACTAGCACTCAGGACTTTCTTAGGAAGGTAACAAGGCAAAGAGGGGGTAAAAAAAACCCCAAAAAGTCTGAAGTTTCCTAGTCCTCCAAAGGGCAGTTTTGAGTCTCGATGCCCTCTTGAAAAGCTGCATGCTTTTCCCTATGATACATCCAAAAGGAAGTTTTATGTAGAACAACGTTTACAACAATAAATATCAACAGACTGTGATCATCATGCTTCACCCTATATGGCTGTAGGCCTCTGAACTGGAATTTATACACAAAAAAACCCCACAGCTATAGAAAGCAATATATTGCATGAGTTTTTGCATCTTTCAAATGCAGATCCATGTGTTTTGCAGTGCCAAAGCACCCTGTCACTCCGACTCCAAACACACGCTAATTTAACACGTTTCGCTGCTGTCAAATTACCAGTGCAGATCAGGCTCCCTTCCTTTTGTTTTTGAAGTCAAATGCCACCGTCCTGAATAAAAATCAAGAACGAACGCCACAGAGCAAAACAATGCCATGACAGAAACCTCCAAGAAAAAAATCTAGGAGCCAGTAAGAGGGAAAACTGCTTCATCACAGGGAAGTAAGAGCATCCAGCTCCTCCTCTCACAGCACGCACAACGGCAGCGGCATTTTTCCAGCACGATGCCTACAAGCAAATTGTTTCCCGCTCCACTCAGGTTCTACTAATATAATTTCCACAGCTCATTTTAACTGCCTCTCCATTGCTCTTTATGTATACCAAGAGGCTTACAAAAATAAATGGGAATTGACTATCCAGAATTAAAAGTACATTTAAATCCATCAAACACGAATCTACGCCAATGGAAACAGAGGGACCAACCTGGAAGAATCAGTGCTCACCACAATGTAAGGGAAAGCTGTAACTACTGCATCATGGTTGATATTAATTCCTAAACAACCATTTCACAATTTCTGGCTGAAGATACAGAGTATGTTTCAAAGCAAAGCTGCCAGATAGATAAAGCCTTCACACAGACCAACTGATGGTGGAAATAAATATAAATCAGCAAAGAGCAATGCCACATCTGAAGCAAAAAAAAAAAATCCAATCTTCTCATCTTACTGTCATGTAACTTTAGCAGTTCTGCTTCCAGCCCTTGATTTTCCTCAACAAACGAAGAGTTAAAGCCAGAAAATTCACATCTGTCCCAGTCACTACAAAGACAGCATTTACATCATTCTGCCATACATTATCCTACAGTAGTAAACCAGAGCTCCCCCCACAAAGCCCCCAGCCCTGTTCACAGACATTAATCTCAGCTTTTCCACTGTGATCAAGACCAACACCACTAAGAGCTCTCAAACTCCACTGGACAGAGGCTCTGAACAGCAGAAGCTCAACCTTCCTCGTCACTGAAGCTACCCAAAAGACCCCATTGTAAACAGACCAAACAGAAGAAAAGCCAGCTTGCCAAAAGCAGCCTTTGGAAGAGATAACTCACTGTTCTGGGGATGGGTGGCGACAGAGATCCATTAGGCATGTATGGGTCGTTATTCATATTTGGCATCATGATATACCCAGAATAACCAGAGTACGATGGTCCCTTGCTGTATAAGCCATTGTCCGGATGCTTTCCTGTGGAAGATGAAACAAAGATTACATTATTCCCCACATATGCATTTCTCATGAGTTAGAGCACTCAAACAGGTACTGTGCATATATAGAAATGTTCTGCTTGCAAACGTTTCCTTACTTATGGAAATTACTGCTGACAGAAAATGATACGAAGCAATTTGTAAAAACATTTATTTTTAGGAAGAGTAAATTCTTAAAGGAGTGAGTATTCTCAGTGAGGAGTTTATGTTTAAAATACAGAGTAGCCTCAAAATAAATAATTTTGCTAGTACTCATTGAAATCAAAGTAGACACATCAGCAATGACATCACATTTCTCACGCAGCAGTTTTCCCCGATTTTATACATGCCTCTAGGATTTGTCAATTCAGAATTATTGCCAGTATGGGTTTCCAACATCATTGTTAGGAAAGGGAGGACAAGGCTGTGATAACTAGATATAACAATTTCCTTCTCTTGCTGAGACAGTGTGTGCAGCGAACAATTCATTCTGACTATGCTCACTGGGAACAATTAAAGGGCAGGGGGTGGCTTGGAAGGAGATCCTAACAATTTGGGAGGGAGGCTGTTAGGCACACATGGTACTACAGTCAGTAGGGAAGCCCAGTGAGAGGCTATTTGATCGGGAAAAAATAAGTGTTTGGGTCCAGGTCCCACAAACTGGGTGAACAGGTCTCCCACCTACATGCCCACTGACAAGGATACGACCTGAAAGTGAGGGTTTAAGAAGATGCAAAGCTGAAAACTATCGAGAGGTGAACACCTCCCCCTCACTGCCCAAATGCTATGAGCATGGACATCATTGCTTTTAGGCCGTTTAATTACAAATTTGCAGGAAGATGGCCACAGAGTCCTGGAAAGTACCCGGACTGAACTCTGTCTTTATACGGAATTTATAATCTGGTTTAGTTTGTGATGATAAGCATTTGATTTTAAACAATCTCCCACCCATCACAGCACACATTCTTTGCATGCGTGTCCAGCTTCCTAAATGATATTTGATTAACTTTGTTACTTCCTTTGTCCTCCTCAATCGAAATTAAACACTTGATATATTAAAAAATGCAGCAGATCTGCTCATACTTAGATTTGAAAAAAGAGACTTAAGTGACAGACTTTGGCTATGGGGAAAAGCAGAGGGTTTCTGAACACAACTGTACACTGCATGAGTGAAGAGATAGATGTATTTAAGGTGATATCCTAAAAATAGTTACTTCTTCAGTGAAGATCCATTTGGCCTACTTATCAGTTTCTAAACAACTGGAATACCATTTGGTCACTCAAGATAAATGCGCGGCACATTCGTCTCCTTTTCAAATGCGCTTTGAAAAAGCTTTGGCATCCCTTCCCTCCAAAAGATATTAAATTTATGTTTTCCAAAAGAAACCAAGTTCCAGTTTGAGGACTGTGTTGCAGGTCACAGAGGGACAACATTGCAAGACGGGACTGTGTGAGTCTCACCTTCCTCGGGGTGTTCTCTGCCTTTATCATGGTAGGAATCCTGTGCTTGAGTCTGCCTGGAAACCTGACCACAAGGAATCCACCATCAGAAAAGAAGAAAAAGAAGAAAAGTCATTGTATGGATGCTCATTTATCAAACACAATGCTACAGTTTCTTGAAGGAAGAGAGGATTTTAGAGCACAAGATTAACATCTTTCTTTTTCCTCCTAAGTCGCTTGGAAGGCAACTGTACCAAAAACATTTGTGTAAACTATTGTTTTATGACAACGTGAATAACTACATGGCTTTGCAAAGCATTTCTAGCAGAAGCACCCTTCATTTAATGAAAGGGGATCATTTCTGGAAAATATTTGGCGCTCTGGCGGTCAAAACGCTCTTGGTAAAAAGCTACCAAAAATAATAATAATGAAAATCAGGTTGCCCTCCTTAGCAGATCTTTAGGAAAAAAAAAAAAAAAAGAAAAAAAAAAAAGAAAAAGAAAAAGAAACCCCTCCAAACAGAATTTTTTAAAAGGCAGGTTCCCAGCTCGCCCTGAAGTTATTTTAGAGTCGGGAATTTCTTCCCTAACAGTTTTATGCAAATCCCTTAAAGAGTTTACAGCTAACGCTCCGACCCCGCTGATTTTACTGAGGAAATTTCATGGCTGCTTGAGGTCTAATACCACCGCACCGTCGGGGAACTCGCGGCAACTTTCTCGTCCCGGGCCGAAGCGCGGAAGGGGCTCTGCCCGGCGCACCTCTGGAGACAGGATTTGGGGTGGAATGATTTCTTTTCTTACGGGAAATTTTTCCCGGTGCCCCTCCGAAGCTCCCTCCCCGCGGCGGCGGCCGGAGCCCGCCGGCATCCCGCGCCCCCTCGGTCCGCGCTGCCCCGCGGAGCCCCGCGGCCGCGCACCTCATGCCCGTTGGCGCCGGGGGCGATCTCGGACTCGTTGACGAGGGAGGACTTGATGTCGGCCAGGTCGCCCTCCTCCTCGGGGTGGCTGATCTCAGCGAAGATCTTCTCTTTCTGGGGGTCCCCCTCGTCCTTGAAGGGGATCATCTCGTCGGTGGCGCAGAGCTCCGGGTCCCCCCCGCCGCCCCCGGCCCCCGGCAGCTGCGGCATCCTCACGGCAGCGCGGCGTCTGCTGCGGCCGCCGGCCCGCCGCGGGAAGGGGAGCGGGCGGAGCAGCGGGGGGAGGAGGAGGGCAGAGGAGGAGGAGAGAGGAGGAGAAGGAGGAGAGAAGAAGGAAAAAAATCCCGTGAACTCCTCGGGGTTGCTCTCGGCAGCCGGAGACCCCCGCCTGTCCGCCCGCCCCCTCGGGGCCGAGGTACCCCGTCTTCCGCACGATACCGACGTCCCGGGGACCCTCGCCCCGACGCGCCGCACGGCCGGAATAGGTCGAAATACGCTCGCCCGTGTCCCGACCGCGCCAGGGACCGCCCCCCGGGAGACCCGACCCCCCTCCATCCCCCCCGGGACCTGGGCTCACCCCGGGGGCGAGGAGACGCGGAGGGGAGCGGAGCCCGCCCGCGCTTCGCCTCCGAGTGAAGTTGCCACCACCCCGGCGGGACCGAGTTAAAATGGCTGGGGGGAGGCGGGCAGGGGGAGGGGGCGTCCCGGGGGAAGGGGCCGGCGCTGCCCGTGCCGCGCACCCACCGGGCCTTTGTCCGCCGCTTCGTCCGCGGCTCCGGGCACGGCTGGGCTCGGCTCGGCGGCACCGCGAGGGGCGGGGGGCCGAGGAAGAAACAGCCCCGGGAGGGAGGGAGGGCAGGAGGGGAGGGATGGAGCGGGCGGGGAGGTGACCCCCCCCGCTTCCCTCCGCGCCCGCGGGCAGGGGAAAAAGTTGCCGGCACGACGCCCCCGGCCGCCCCCGCTCAGCGCCCGGCGCGGGGCCTCCTGCCGCAGCCGGCGGGCGCGAGGGGGCGGGAGGGAGCGGGTGCGGGGCTGCCCCCGGGCAAACTTTGCTGTGGCTGCGCGGAGTAGGCTCTCTGTCCGTGTGTGTACCTACACGCACACGTGTACGTTTGTGGGTGCGTGTCCGCGTCGCTGGGGGTGCGCCGGGGCACTGCCGCTCCTCTCCCTTCCCAGCCGAGAGCCCGCCGAGGAGGGCACAGGCACTAGCTGCATCCCCGGGAAGGGCGGACAGACCTGCTTTTTTAGGGCTTCTTTGTTGAGCTTTCCCCATCGCCACATGGTGCTGCTCCGGTGTGGGAAGTGTGCGAGGGGTTGACCAGGCTCTGTCCGCGCCCGCATCGGACGGAGGGCAGAATTAAGACATCCCCATTGAATCCAGCAAGTGCCCGGCAGAAACGAGTAGTAGCCCCCGGGAGACGGGGAGAAACCCGCCGGGGTGAGCTCGTCCTAGTTTCGGACCGGTAAATGGAGCCAGAGCAGTAACGGGGATTCACCCCTCCAGCCTGTCCCGTTCCTCCAGCACCGCGCTGCCCCGTTAGCTCCCGGCTGATCCGGCATCACCCGGCGACAGGGCACGGGTGCAGTAAAAAAAATCATCCAGACAAAAGCAGGCGCTGCGCTTGGGGAGCGTCAGGATCCGCAACTTTTATTTTGCGAACACGATGGGCGCACATTTTGCAGGAAACAACTTCCCAGTATTTTGGCATCGGAAAAGTGCGCTTTGTGCTTTGCACATGCCCCGTCAGGTTGCTAAACCTTCAAGCGCCGGGAGCCGGAGGAACGGGAACATGTGGATGCTCAATCCGTTTTCGGCAGATGCTGGGTTCGGCACGGCGGCACTGCCGGCCGGGACACGGGCGGGCTGAGCCCGGCTGCCCACGCCGCCGCCCGCGGCTCTGCGAAATCGTCCTCGAACGGGTAATTAAAATCCAGCTGAGGAATTAGACCCTCCAAACCCCGAGGAAGGGAGCAAGGTAGCGGGAAACGAGGGATGGACTTGCCAAGTCGAACAAGTGCGTGAAATAAATGATCGAGAAAGGAAGAAATTAGAAATGTAACTTCTGGGAAAGGGCTTAATTGTGCAGTGCTCCCCAGATGCAGGGAGACCCCCTCTCTCCCGGAGACGGCTGCAGAGAGGCGATGGGGAAGCGGTTGTTTGGAAAACGACAGACAACTCGGGGATGGCTCCTGAGCGGAGATGCACATCTCCGCATCCCTCCCGCTCCTCTTCCCTTTCCTGGCGCTCGGCGGGCACCGGACACCCGGGCCGGGCAAAGCTGCCCCGGGACGGTCCCGTTCTAAAAAAAAGACCTTCGCCGAGAGGCTGAGCGTTGCAACCCGCTCTCCCGACGGGACGGGGAGGCGCGGCCCGGGAGCAGGCAGGGACCCCGCCGCAGGAGCCGGCAGCGCGGCCACTCCTCTGTTTCATTACCGTGTCCCTCTGGAAAAGCAGCCGCCCCCCGCCCCTCCGCCGTGCCTTTACGTGGGCTGGAGTCTTTCCCGGATCGGTTTTTTGCCTTTTTGAAGGCAGAAAAGGGCCGGGATGGGGGCGGCGGGACCGGGGCGGGGGAATGTGTGTGTGGAAACCGTAATGATTTACGACAAAAAGATAAACTCAGGAAACGTCAACTCCAACGTCAGATTTGACTGGAGACAACACAAAGCTGTCGCTTTACTCGCAGTCCTTGGGGCACGGCCGGAGGCGGGAGGCAAGGCCCAGGGTATGGGGACGCCCCACGGTGGCCCCGCTGTCGCCCCCGGCGGGACCGCCGCCTTCCCCGGGCCACCGGGAGCGCGCCCGCCGCCGAGCCCGGCACCCGGCTCCGCAGCGGCTACCGCGCCTTTGGTACTTTCGTAGAGGCGATTTTTGCGCTTGAGGTGTTTCTTCTTTTTTCCCTCTTTTGATTTTAACGTGAGTTTGTATATTACCGGGTTCTGGTTTTGTTTTTTGTTGTTTGTTTGCTGTGTTGTTTAATTTTGGACAGGTTTTGATGGGGGTTTTTTTTGGTCGTTTGAATGGGTTTTAGCGTTTCAGAGGGAGTTGAGCAGTTTTTGTTTGTTGGGGTTTTTTGCATTTTCAGCGTTGAAGTGACCCGCACCTCGAGCACTCCCCGACGGCCAGCCCGGCTTGCCCGGGCTCAGGGCGGGCTGGGGGGCGAGAACGGGGAGGGCAAACCGGCCCTGGGGCGGGCTGAGCTCCAGCGCTCGGGGAGCGGGACGAGCCCCGTGGAGCTTCAGCAGGGCTGAGAGGGGGGAACCGGGGTGCCAATGCCGACCCCTCCGGGCGCAGCAAGTGGGGCGCGGGGACGTGGGACACTCTGGCGTGCGAAGCGGGGCCGCCGCCGGCGCCCCCTATATAGGGAAGGGCGGGAGTGGGGCGGAGCGGCGGCGCCTTTGATGTCCCGCCGGCGGCCCCTTTCATCCCCCCCCGGTTCCCCCCCCGAGCTCTTTGTGTGACTAAATTTGGCAGGAGCATGGAGGCGCGCCAGGGCGCCCACGTGTGCGCCGAGCTCCCAGCTGAGCGAGCCGGGGTTTTCTTCCGGGTAAGGAGACAGCGGGGGAGATCAAAGAGTTTGGGGAGCTGGAGCCGAAATGTGCAGTGGAAATAAAGTAAAATTAAATAAATAAATAATAGAAAAGGGGGAGGGGGGGGGGGGGAAGGAAAATTCCTCCGTCCTGGACGCGTGCCAGTCAGAGGCAAGGGGGAGCAGGGCGAACAGAGTGGTCGGGGGGACCGGCGGGAGGGGGGAGAAATAGTCTCGGAAAAGGGGGTTACAGTTGTTTTTTGAAAAGAAAAAAAGAAAAAAAAAAGAATAAAAACCAACCAACGAGCCAAGAGACCAAGCCTTTTGTTTAAAGCCGCCGGGCTGTGGAGCCAAGCGGGCTCCGCCGGGAAGAGCCGCCCGACAGCGCGTCCAGGAGCGCAGCCGGGCCAGGGGCAGAACTCCTTCGTAGTGTCTGAGAAAGGGCAACCAGCGGCAAATATCCCCTTCTCCCACCCGCGAGGCCCGTTCGGAGGTTCGAAGGGAATCCTTCTAGGCAAACCCCCCGCGGTTTTTTCTCCCCCTGGGAAGCGATGTCGAGGGTGGTCCCCCGAGGGGTGGGTGCACGGGGGCCAGGCGCCCTTTGCGGCAGCCCACGCCGCTCCCCGCGGCTCCCCGGCGGGCATCGCGCTGCCGAGGGACAGCGGCGCTTCTTTCTGAGCCGTGCTGGCACTGCCGGGCTGCGCCACGGGCATCCCCGGGGCCCCGCTGCCGCCCGGCACATCCTGCCCGCCCCGGGCCCGCGGGGATGTCACCCGGCTCTCGCTGCTCCCTCAGGACTGCAAAGCACAACAAATAATGTTGGGTTTTAAAATTTCTCAAACCGAGCCTTCTCGGTGCCGTTTCAAGGCAATGTGAGTGAATTATGCGTGTTCCCCGGGTCTGCGTTTGCCACCCCATTTAGATAACACCCGTGATTTATGTGCAAGTTGAATATATAGGCTGAATTCCCAAATTCCTTCTGAAGCAAATAAATCCTCCTCCTTCAGGACATGGGGTGAGCAGGGCCAGAGCAGGGATGTGATGATTAGCCCTGACTCTGCAGAGTTATTGCTGGTGTCCTGCACATCTCAGTGCTGCACAGCGTCACTGGGGAGCCAGCCCCAGGCTGCCTCAGGTTGCATGGATGTGTTTGCAAATATGGACCTGTTCTGTGCCTCTACAACAAGGATAATACTTCTAAGGCATTTTTTTACTCTGTGAGAATAAATTCATTCTTGTGTTAAAGAGACTCTTCTGATGATCGCCATAGGGAAAGCTCTAAATAAGAGATCAGGATTTCTGGGGGTGAAAACCTAGTGTCCTCCCTCACTCTTATGTTGTACCAGGCACAGTCCCTTTGGTGGTGCAGTTCCTTTTACAAGCACAGTGTCCAGATATCTGACATACCTTTGGATTTGGGTCCAGGTTTGGATTGCAGACACTGTGGCTCACACTCCATGGCCTGTGTCCCTTGGGTGGGTCACCTGCCGTGGCCTCCAGATGATGCTGATGCCGGTTCCTCGTTGCCTTGAGGGAACTTAGGTGTGGTGTGGATTTCTCATTGCACTTATCCTGTCATGGTGGCTGAAAGGGATTCTTTCCAACAGTCACATCAAGAGGATTCTGCCGAGTGAAGGGAACAATTCTGTATTTGGTGCAGATTTATATTTTAAATAGAGAAAA